ATTGATTTCTGTGGGATAAATGCCTTATTAGTAAAGAATACCTATCCCCCATCCCTCATGAACGATATGTTGAACCACTTAGCTAAAGGCAAAGTGTTCACCAAACTGAATTTGAGAGTGGCGTATTACTACATACGTATCAGGAGGGAGATGAATGGAAGACCACCTTTAACTGCCATTTGGGCTAAAAGGGCCCCCTGTAGTCTTCATGCAGTACAATAAATGAGGTGCTACATGGGCACCTTTACCAGGGGGTGCTCATTTATCTTGATGACATCCTCGTGTTCTCTGAGACTCTAGAAGAGCATGTGAAGCTGGTGCAACAGGTCCTAGAAAAACTTATAGCCGCCAAGCTATACGCAAAATTGTCTAAGTGTGAATTGCACAAAACCTCACTAGATTATCTTGGCTATCACATCTCCAGCGAGGGGATAGAAATGGATCCAGGGAAAGTGAAAGCTATGTTAGACTGGAAACCTCCAAGTACTCGCAAACAGCTACAAAGCTTTCTTGGATTTGCCAACTTCTATAGGTTATTCATCATGGCTTTTGCAGAAGTTGCCATTCCATTGACTAAACTGTTAAAAACTGGGTCTTCCCTGACAAAGCCAAAGGCAAATCAACCCCTTGGGTGGACAATGGACTATCAAAAAGCATTTGAGAAATTAAAACGGCTCTTTGCCCAAGAGCCCATACTGCAACACCCCAACCCCAAACAGCAATTCATAATCCAGACAGATGTCAGTGACATGGCTGTAGCGGTAGTGCTGTTGCAAAAGACCAAAAAAGAAGGACACCTCTTGCCATGCGCTTATGTCTCCAAAAAACTCACCACTACTGAAAGGAGGTGGACCATTTGGGAGAAAGAAGCATATGCAGTCAAGTGGGCCCTATTCATTTGGAGACATTTCTTGAAAGGAGGGAATGTGCCATTTGAGGTCTGGACTGATCATAAAAAACCCCAAAGACTGTCCCCAAAGCAGGTTCGCTAGGCACAATACTTCCGAAGGTTTAAATTCGAACTGAAACACATCCCTGCAGGGAAGAACTTGCTGGCAGAGGCTTTATCAAGAAAACCGCAATACAACAGTAAAAGGGAAGAAGTAGTTCATCCCATCCTTCCCCCTTCTGACCAAAAGGCAGCCCAAGTCACCATCAAAGACCAGACTAACCAACCACCTACCCTAAGCCAAGACAAGCTGACTGCAGCAATGAAATTGGTGCTGCCGGCAGACCCCTGGCTCAACAACAAGGACATCCTGACAATGAGAGATGGCTTTGCCTGAAAAGGATCCAAACTGTACGTTCCCGCAACCTTGAGACTGGAAGTACTACAGTGAACCCACAATGCAAAATTAGGAGGCCACTTTGGATTCCAAAAAACGCTCCACCTCACCAGATGTCAATTTTTGGTGGCCAAAAATGAAAGCTGAAGTGAAAGACTATGTAAAAAGCTGTGCCACTTGCACCACCATGAAAATACGGCCAGGCAAGCCCCCTGGATTGCTGCAGCGAGCGGCCAACCCTAGCCAACCATGGGAAGAGATCGCTATGGACTTCATCGTCGAGCTCCCAGACAGCGGCTGTAATAAAGTAATTTGGACAGTCATTGACTTATTTTCCAAGCAAGCTCATTTCATTGCTTGCTCAGGATTACCATCTCCAAAGAAGCTAGCGAAACTGTTTGTTAAATACATTTACCGACTGCACGGAATACTCAGGAGGATCATCTCAGACCACAGAGTTCAGTTCACCACCAAGTTCTGGAGAGAGTTCCTGAGGTCCATTGGGTCCACACAAGGACTTAGCTCGGCTTTTCATCCAAGCACAAACAGGGCAGCGGAAAAAGCCAATGCGATTGTGGAACACTACATCTGTTGTTAGGTGGATTACCAACAAGACAACTGGTCGGATTTGCTACCTTTTGCCGAAGTCGCGTACAACAACGCTGTCCATAGCAGTACTGGATTAACTCCTTTTCAAGTTACCAGTGGCATGGAATTTGTTCCCATGCCTGAACTGCCCAGAGAACTCCCCTCTTCCATGTCTCTGATTAAATGGATGGACGCTTTTAAAAAAGGGTGGGAAAATACGAAAAAAGCTCTGGCGCAAGCAGCAGAAGAGTACAAGAAACAAGCTGATAAACACCACTTGCTTCAACCACCTTCTGTGTGGGGAATAAAGTTTTCTTGTCTACCAAATACATAAAGTTACAAATACCTAGCAAGAAATTAGGCTCAAGATTTCTGGATCCATTCCCAATAGTGAAAATAATTAACTCAGTTATGGTTCAGCTCAGTCTGCCCAGAATTCTAGGGAAAATTTACCCAATCTTTCATTGCAGCTTACTGAAGCCAGTGATTGGGTCCATCATAAGACCTTCCACCCAGCCTCCCCCTCCTCCAGTATTGATAGAAGGAGAAACACACTATGAAGTGAAGAAAAGTTTAGACTCTAGGTTGTATCGAGGTCGTTTGCAATGTTTAGTACATTGGAAGAGGTACCCTTTGTCCGAAGCTACTTGGGTAAAAAGTTGGAATGTAAAAGCTGATAAATTAGTAAAACAATTCCATGATAAGTTTTCCAATAAGCCTGTGGTTGGGGAGAGGTTGTTAGTTCTGCTTTTGTTACCCTCTACATTATTCTCTTTTCAGGAAATGCTTTTTTTCTGAGGAGAGGCCACCTGTCAGTCCTACAGCTATATTCCTTTTGGATCTTTGGCCTGCCACTCTTTCTATTATTCTACTATGCTGTTTCTATTGTGGGAAAATGGGAGTGGGGGATGGTACGGAGTTAAATGCTATATAGCCAAAATAAAATCCCTTTCTAGAATCGAAGGTCTTCCTGTGTCTCTACACCTTTGCACCTGACCGGAGCTAGATGGCAGTGGAAGATTGGACCATGTGATGGACTTGTGGGTGTGGAGGCAAGATCATGAACTTTTAACTATGTGGGGAAAACCAGGAAGCTTTCAGAGTCAGGTTTTCCCAGATGTGCCAAAATGGCTCTCTTAATAAATTGGAACTTTGAGTAATACTTTGCCTTGGACTCTGATTTAATTTTGAATGCTATTTGGAACCCTGATACATCATTGTTAAAACTTTCACTAACAAGTTTACTAACAAACCATTTTGTCAATCTCATTCAATCACAATGCCTGGGTCTTAAATGCTTTTCAGAAGGNGGGTCCAGTACACATGTGGAGGCACTTACAGTTCCCAAGACCTCCCCCCAAAATAAGACCTAGTGAATGAGTGGGCGTGGCCAGTACACGGGGCAGCCCGTCCCTTTCTTGGTCATCTCATGGAAGCTCGGCAATTACAGCCCGAGGATCAGCTGAGCCAGCGAGGGCCAGGCAACTCAGCTCAGATCTCTGGAGCATCTCCCCAGCCACCGGCTTGGCAGGGCCCCATTTGTCAGCAGTTGCGCTGCCCTGCACGGGCTTCATGGCAGCTCTGTAACAGAATGGAGGAGGGAGATCACCCTTTCCTCCTTTGCACCCCAAAACCCCATCTTCCATGGCCCCAGAGCCCCCTGCATCCCTCTCACTGGAGCAAGACGTGACATTCAATATATCAGTATACCCATGGAGGCCCCACATCCCAGGATTGCAAGGCTGAGGCCTTCAAATGGAGCATTTGGGGGATGTGTGTCTGTCCTGCGATCCCAAATAAAGAACAATCAGTAGGAAAGGGGGAGAAATTTTCCCACGGAGGGAAGGAGGAAGTTTGTTCTGAAGCTATGGCAGAGAGTAGCACTGGGAGGTGAATGTCACAATGCAACAACAAACCTTGTATGGTCTTGCTCCAAGAGGCTATGCTGGTTTGTCAAACCTTAGGCGATGTAGCCGCACTTCAACGCGCCCCATGTGTTTGCTCAGTAGAGATTTGGGGATTACCCGGCCGGCTGAGTGTGCATAAAATGCCAAGCTGGAGACCAGGATTGGGGATCGCCCACGGAGAAGCCGGGCCTTGAGACGTCACCCTAAGCAGGCACCGAGCTGGAGGATGGGGGAGTCTCAGTCTCCTGACCCGGTTGCCCTCCACCATTTTTCATTAAATGTCTGTGTTTGTGTGTGAGACAGAAAGAGAAATGGCAGCAAGGAAACCAGTGGTGGGTTACGACTGGTATGCCCCAATACGGGTGTACCAGTGCCTGCCGGGACTGGTGCCTACCAGTTGCCATTTTGGTACAGTGCTCCGGAGGGCCCACCCACCTGCCCACGCTCCATATCAATATTTAAGGTTTTGGGGGCTTACACGCATGCAGTGTACGGCGCCTGCACAATACTCCACCGAGCAGCTGGAGCGTCACGGAGGCATCACAGAGCATCGCCGACAGTAAGTACGCATGCGCGCGCTGCAATAGGATCCGGAACCCACTACTGGAGGAAACCCTTTCAAACAGCATTGCCTGAAATTCTTGATACTCCCCTCTGCTGTTTCTCTTTCTCACACACAAATTTAAAGGGAGAGGCTGCTCTTTGCTTCTACGGTATCGTAAGCACACACTTCCCACAATCTTCCAGAATTGCCTGCAATTCTCTACTGTGAGAAGCTGCACGTTGTGAAGAACGAACAAACGAAGCAAGGCAGAGGGGGGAGAGATAAGGTACTGTACTACTGCACAGCTGCCCCACACCCCCCCGAACTGACTTGAGGGCCCTTCAGCCAAGCCACCCATGCCAAACACTCATCCCTCCCCAGGACAGCAACAGCCTTGTTTGTTTGTTTTTTACCATAGTTCCAGAGACTACTTTTGCTGTTTCTTTACCTATCGGTACTTGATTTACCGCTCCATTGTGTTTCTCGCCATTGTGTGCAGGGAAACAAGTTTGTGGGACTACCATAAAAAAAAACTTCTTGCAAGAAGTTGAAATAGATTGAACTTTTTTTCCAATAAGTTTTTTCATTTTTCATTTCATATGTGTGTGTATTTGTGTCTGTGTGTTTGATGTAAAACATTAAAAATGAATAAGTTTATAAGCTAACTATACTGACCTGTCTGTACGTTCCTTCTAACAAGGTGTCCAGATGTTGAAGTGGAGCTGGACTTTTATCTTTAAACCTTGTCAGTAAACGCCGTTCAATAGCTCTAAATTGTATAGCTCTTTCAGCTAATAGTTGCTCATATTTCACAGCATTCAAACGCAGCTATAATTAAAGAAGTTTTTCATAGAGTGAATTAATGGTATTCTAGAACACAAAATATATGGTGCTACATTTACTGCAAAAATCCAATTATTGCTTTTACATGGTGATTATGAAAGCTTAAAATTATGCACACATCCTGAAGTCTATTAACGGATTAAATGAATTCCAGTTATCACTGAAACTAAAAATAATTGTTAACGTAATACAAAATAATGTTATGGTTTTCATAGCAGTAGCAGATTACAAGATACCATTCTAGTCTTCCTTGAATAACCATTACATTTTAAAATATTTAAAGTATTGTACAATATCTTTACAAAGAGAAAGCTAAATATTAAAACTCACCACATAAAAGTTCTTATTTTTTCAGAAGTAAGCAAACGTATTTGGGACTTACTCCCAAAAACGTATTTAATATTAAAAAGTTTTCTATAATTAATTTGCCATTTAGCAATTCAAAAGTTATTTTATCAAGTATTTTGGTATGCATTCTTGCTCCCAAAGATCATTTCAACAGGAAAACAAAAACAAGCAGTAAATTCTTAGGAAACCACAGCATTATTTGTAATAAGTCTGAAATAATTCTAATAAAAATTAGAAGTAATTATAACAACTGAATAAAACATAATCATTGATAGCCATAAGTCACCTGAATTTATTAGCATACCTCAAAATGGTGGTCAATTATGTCAAAATAGTCTTGTAAAGGGATTGGACCAGAAAAAGTACATATAAAATCTTTGCAATTTTGCCTCCTGAAGTGTTGCTCAAGACGAAGAGTGAGTTCTTTTGTAATTAGCCAAATGTCTTCTAATTGATCACTTTGAATTCTGTAACGCTCTTCAAAATAAAATAAAAAACAAAAATTATTTGCACTTCAGCTGTAAGTAGTATAAATTATCAAAGCAGTGTTTTATCGGTCCAACAAATATTGTATATTGAATATCATAATTGTTATCCTTACCTGCATAACCCTTTTCTCACAACTGCTTCATATTTCACTGAAATTCTAATTTATAATAATTTTGGGACATGAATGTATTAATAAAAATGTATTCAATTCATAGCTATAATTAAAAACATGAAAACTTGAAATAATGGGCTATTGATTCAATTGGGTGCTGAACTATAAGCATTAACATATACTGTTGTTTATAATCAATTTGTACTGATCTTCCTAGGTTTGAGAGGGCCAACTAAATGGTGCAAATGGCTTGATTGGAAGTGGCAGTACTATACCATCAATCTGGAATAGCTCAGAAAAGTGGCAAAACAAAGTCTATTCCAGTGATGGGTAACCTTTTTGTTGAGGCATACCAAAAGTGGGAGGAGCTGTGGGGGTTACATAAGTGCGTGTCCACATCCATAATGAGATGGGAAAAGAGCTAGAAAAGAAAAATAAAGAGAAAGGAAGAAGAAATGAGAATGANTGGAACTTTGAGTAATACTTTGCCTTGGACTCTGATTTAATTTTGAATGCTATTTGGAACCCTGATACATCATTGTTAAAACTTTCACTAACAAGTTTACTAACAAACCATTTTGTCAATCTCATTCAATCACAATGCCTGGGTCTTAAATGCTTTTCAGAAGGCTAGGAGGATGGGGCCCTGCCAAACCTCAGAGTGAGGGATGTTCCATTGGGTTGGGCTGCCATGGAAAAGGCACTCTTCTAGATTCTATAAGATGGCAATGTTTAAGGGAAGTGACTAGTAATATACTGCATTTTTTGAAGCATAAGACGCACCTCCCCCCCCCAAAAAAAGCAGGTGAAAATCTGGGTGCGTCTTATACACTGAATACAGCATTTTTGGCCTTCCAAAACCCCACCCTGCACATCCCATTTTTTGCAAAAATGGATTCACAGAGGGTTTGGGAGGCCTGTAGACTGCTCCTGGGGGCTGGGGAGGGCAAAAATAAATGAAAAAGGGCACACACAAAAAGAAGGGTTTTTTTGCTTTCCCAAGCCTCCAGGAGCACTCTGCAGACCTTCCACGCCCCATTTTTTTAAAAAGACGGGCCACTTTCAACTTGTTTTTGCCCTCCCCAGCCCCCAGGCCTCCCACACCCTCTGCATCCTCCATTTTTTATGAAAAATTGGCTCATTTTTTGCTCATTTTTGCTCTCCCCAGCCCCCAGGATCATTCTAGAGGCCTCCCAAACCCTTTGCACACTATTTTTGTGAAAAAACGACCCGTTTTTTGCTTCCTAAATCCACACGTTGTGTTTTTGCCCCCCCCCCATTGCCCCCAGGAGCACTTTGAAGGCCTTCCAAACTTTCTGCATGCCCCATTTTTCATAAACAAATGGGGCATGCAAAGGGTTTGGGAGGCCTTCAGAGTGCTCCTGGGGGCTAGGGAGGGCAAAACCCCTTTTTAAAAATTTACCTCTTCAAAATCTTGGTGCGTCTTATACTCCGGTGCATTTTATAGTCCAAAAAATACAGTACCCATTCTATTTGATCTGGCAAAATGACTATAAATCCTTAGGGAAATACAAATAATCTGGTTCCGTGTCATACAGGCTTAAAAGGTAATAATCAGTACCTTGAATTGCATCTGGAAAGAAACTAGAAGCCAGTGAAACTCATACAACAGAGGTGTTATATGGATAAACCTAAGGATAACCATCACTATGTGCATGCCACTGCATTTGGATAAGTTGTAAATTCCAGGTAGTCTTCAAGAGCAACCCTAGGTAGAACATGTTGCAATAATTCAAAAGGGAAGTTACAAGGCATGAGTCGCTGTGAGCAAGGCCTCCCAATTTAGGAACAGATGGCAACTGGCAGACAGGTCTGTGCAAAGGCCCCTTTACTCATGGCTATCACCTACTCCTTGAGCAGAAGCCATGAATCTAGGAGGACCTGCAAAATTTTACCCAACCTGGAGGAGTGCTACAAATACTTTATCCAGCTTCAAAGATGAAATATCATCTGGAGCAGGAGATATAGTCACAAACCCAAAGCCACTCTGTCTTGCCGGGTTGAATCAAAGCCATCACCTCCCCATCTGAACCCTTAGAACTTCCATATAATCAGTACCACCCCAAGTTCACCTGTCTGGCTAGGTGTAGAAATATATAATTGAATATCAAGAGCATACTGATAATACTAATTGTATACTGACAGTAAATGCTAAAAAGAGAGGCAAAAAGCTTGGTCCCTGAGGCATTCCATATTGCAGGCACTAGGTTTGACTCTCCTCTTCCAGCAACACCGACTGATCACAGCCACAGAGCCTGAAGGAGAACCACAGTGCCTCCCACTTCCAACTCTCAAAGCCAGTCCAGAGAAATATCATGATTGATGGTATTGAAAGCCATTAAAAGGTCCAGGAAAGCCAGAAGGTTGCACCATCCCCTTCCTGAGCCCAACAAAAGTCATAGACAAGTATGACTGAAGAGAGATTAGTGATTGCTTGGCCCTAACAACAAACTACCTCCTGGGATGCCTTAACCAACCAGCAGAGGCATGGATCCAGAAGCCTCCTTGCGGCTGAAACGCAGCTTGAAAAACATAGCTGATCATCGCAGGGAACTCCAGTGAGTAAAGCAGGTGAAGCACAGAAATGGTCACACAAGATTCCGGATTGTCATTTTGGCCTCCAGTCCTCGCATTTTCAGCCTCCAAATGCTCCATTTGAGACCCATCCAAGGCTGCAGGGATCACCAAAGCATATAGCCACCGATCGCCACCCGAAAACGCGACATGCAGAGGCCAAAGAGGGGTGTGCAGAAGCCAAAAACATGATGTGCGAAGGCAGTGATCGGTGGTGATGTGCCCTGGCGATCCCTGCAGCCTTCAACAGGTCTCAAACGGAGCATTCAGAGGCTTAAAACATGAGGTGCAGTGGCCAAAAACGCAAGCCACGGAGAGGGCAATGGTCTGTGGCAATCCCTGAAGCCTGGAACAGGCCTAAAACATGACACATGGAGGCCAAAGGGAGGTGGCCAGAAGGTGGAGGGGAAAAAGTGTGTCTTATAGTCCAAAAAATACATTAAGTAGGACAAAAGGATGCAACAACTAGAATAACTGTAGAATATAATAGTAAATATGTAAATAGGATAGAAAGGAAATAGGTTTTGACAGGAAAATGTTCAAGCAATTTTGGTGTTGTGTTCAAAATAAAAAATTCCTTTCTAGAAGCTCAAGGTCATCTTTTGTCTCCGCACCTTTGCACCTGACCGGAAGCAGTTGGCTGTAGGTGCTAGCGTGGAAGAAGGAGATTGGACCATGTGATGGATTGTGGGGACAAGATCATGAACTTTTAACTGGGTGGAATTCTGATGTCATTTCCAGAATTGGGATTAACACAGATGTGCTAAAATGTCTGCTTTATTAAATTGGAACTTTAAGGATTGTTTTGTCTTGGACTCTAATTTAATTCTACATGATACTTGGAACGCTGATAGTATGTATGTACCAGTGTGTGTGTGTGTGTGTGTGTGTGTGTGTGTGTATATGTATATATATATATATAGGTCTCTAGTTGTTCGGGTTTTCTCCCGCGTAGAATTGGAGATGTCTTGGCGACGTTTCGACGAAGTCTCATTCGTCATCTTCAGGCTGCTTCAGACTACTTCAGGTTTGGTGTTTCCATGAGTACTCATGGAAACACCAAACCTGAAGTAGTCTGAAGCAGCCTGAAGATGACGAATGAGACTTCGTCGAAACGTCGCCAAGACATCTCCAATTCTACGCGGGAGAAAACCCGAACAACTAGAGACCTACATACTAACACCCGCGAAAACCTCAGAAATATATATATGTATGTATGTATGTATGTATGTATGTATGTATGATGTATGTATGTATATGTATATATATGTTTATATGTTTTTGTGTGTTTGTGTGTGTGTATAAATAAATTAGGCATAGAAACAGTGATTGTTAAAGTGAATATTTCTACACATACATAGGAAAATTGTTAATATTTTTCATGCAAAAGCATGCTTTACATAATAATGATTTTATGGTGTTCTAGTCTTATGTGGGTTTTTATACCATATATTAATCAAACAAAATTCTAATATTAACCAAATCTAGGTCTTAGGAATAGTTCCTCTATAATCCAATAAAAATCCCAATTCTGAATTATTTCAGCTAATGAGATACTCACGAGACGTTTTTGAAGCAAGTAAAGTGATTCTGGAGCCAGCTAATAATTGAAATCCTAAAACATTAAGTTGATCTTCATCAATTTGATCAGCAAAGTCTACATGAAAAAGAAGAAACACAGTTGCATCATTTCTTCCAAACTTCCTTCTTTATTACAGGCATTTTCTTATTAAAAAGACATTGTTTGAATTTTTACCTGAAAAAAGAGTAATAAGACTGACTGTAGGTTTGTTGGTATCAATAGTTAACTTCTGGCTTGCTGTTTTTGAAGGCTGAGCAGGAAAACAAAGCAGCCGCAAAGGTAATCGGAATTTGCATTGGGCAATCCTTTGTGCACCTGAGATAAACATATATTAAATCAAAATGCCTCAATTCTAGGGATAGGCAATAATACGTCTGTAAGCCTGCATGTTGGTTTTATAATGTTTAATTTAAAAGGGAAAGAGATAATTATGCTGCAACATTGCATTTTCAATAATGCTTCTAACACCTACATAAAATACAAAGCCATTTTTAGGTCGTAAAAAGATCACACGGCTTCAGTCCCCTATGTGGATTATTACCCATCCACAAAGAAAGAAAGATCAAGGTAAAATTGAGATGGTACGTTATCCTTCAATGTTTTATTTTATAGTTAACAGTTGTTTCTACAAAGACATTAAGATATAAAATGTTAAATATGGAATTATTTTCAAATAAACTATTATAATTACTTTTATCATTTATTTATATTCTCTAATAATTTACCTGTGGCTGTATTGTATGATGCTATAACACTACCTTCCAAATCTGCTGGTAGGTAGTTCCCTTTTTGAAAAGCAGAAAGCACAACAGTTTTAGATACAGAAGATTCTGTGAACAAAAGCAGAAGAAGAAAAAGGTTGATTGGAAAGAGAGACCTATAAATTTGTCTATGAAATTATAATAAAGAAACACAAGTTCAGTCACAACTCACTACTCATTCATTCTTTATCCATTTTTTTTAATGAAAAAGGCATGTGATGCTACAGGTGAAACTCAAAAAATTAGAATATCATGCAAAAGTTCATTTATTTCAGTAATGCAACTTAAAAGGTGAAACTAATATATGAGAGAGACTCATTAAATGCAAAGCAAGATAGTTCAAGGCGTGATTTATCATAATTGTGATGATTATGGCTTACAGCTCATGAAACCCCAAATCCACAATCTCAGAAAATTAGAATATTGTGCAAAAGTTCATATATTTCAGTAATGCAACTTAAAAGGTTAAACTAATATATGAGAGAGACTCATTAAATGCAAAGCAAGATAGTTCAAGGCGTGATTTATCATAATTGTGATGATTATGGCTTACAGATCATGAAAACTTCAAATCCACAATCTCAGAAAATTAGAATATTGTGCAAAAGTTCATATATTTCAGTAATGCAACTTAAAAGGTTAAACTAATATATGAGAGAGACTCATTAAATGCAAAGCAAGATAGTTCAAGGCGTGATTTATCATAATTGTGATGATTATGGCTTACAGATCATGAAAACTTCAAATCCACAATCTCAGAAAATTAGAATATTGTGCAAAAGTTCATATATTTCAG